ACTCCACAAGCAAGATCGATCATGTCTAGCTTGAATGATTCTTGTTGATCAAATATCTCAAGGCAAGAACACTTCCATGAGATTCGAATCACTCCACAAACAAGATTGATCATGTCGAGTTTGAATGATTCTACATGCAACCTAAACTACATAGAATTGCAAAGAAACTTAGTCATTGGCTAAAGAAGAGCACAAATGCTTCTTTTACTATATTTTTCAAGTCTACTTACAAATACAACATACATGGTTTTATATAGCCTCAAAATGAAACTACTAAAGACATTCCAAGAGTTGTAACATTCATACTTAATGGTTATAATTAACCATTATGTAATTGTAACCTAAAGTAAATTAAGAGTCTTAAAATACATTAATAAAATACAATAACTCTAAATTACTCTAAATTGTAATCCACCCAAAATTCAAAGCATGAAATGTCATTCTTCTTAAATGTGACATGAATTGAAATGTCTTTTGATAATTTCAACAATATTTTTTTCACATATTCATTGAAGCATATTGTATGATTGATGTCTCTTGGGGTTCATATCACAGTCTCTATTAACTTATATGGCTTCCGTACATTCGTACTTTGCACGCTAATTAATATATTCAAAGTCATATTATCCATTTAGGAAATACATAACTACAATAAAACAACTTAAAAATTAAACGGGCAAATAAAATTTATAATTTATTACACTTGTTTTCCCTAGAAAAGTGAGAATCAATCTTCATATAATCTCATAATTCGACCAACTCCGACTACCCAACTCAAATTATAAACGTTCGATTGGAATAGATTTTTTTTTTCTTCGGTTTGGAATAGGTTTGAATTTTTGGAAAACTAAGTTGGTTTTTTTTTTAAAAAAAAAATATGTTACCGCTTTAACCCTATCCTACTTTTAAGATATTACTAAGAATAAAAGATTTGATTTTTATAATCGAGAATTTGAAATTTGAGTTTTATAGATTTTAGTTATTATATTCTCGTATGTCCGTTGTGATATGGTCACGTTACCTACTTCTCATTTTTTAAAAAACGAAAACTATCCCCACATACTATTACGAGTCATACTCACATGCATATTAGGAAAATTCTCAAGAGGTCACTCAACATAAAATTGTTTTAAGCAAAACACGTTTTTAACCAAGAAGTTCTTATAATTTAGTCACCAAAAAGGAAGGTACACACTGTTGGATGTGATCTTGGTTCATTCATGTACCTCTAATTTACTTGGGTGTCACATTATTAATATAAAATTTAAAAACAATTAAAAAAACAACTCGAAAATAGAGGATTGGGTAGGGATGAATTGTAAACAGTGAGATTCCACATCAGTTATAGAGAGGAACGAAATATTTCTTATAAGGGTGCAAAAACCTCTCTCTAATGGACGCATTTTAAAATCATGAGGCTAGTAATGATACGTAACAGGTTAAAACGAACAATATCTACTAGCAATTGACTTAAGCGGTTACATAAACACTATCCGAATTACTCGAATACGTAAACCGAGTGAAGGTTGAGTAAGTTTGAAAAATGGGGCAAATAGAGTGGTCCTTTATAGCACCAAATGAAACCACTTTTCCAAATGCAAGTGGAGGGCTGGTGGGGCAGCTACCGTTATACCTGTTCCCACTCTCTCTCTTTCAAAATTGGACAACATTATTTGTCCTAGTTTTGTAAAACAATATTATATTCTTGAGCGGTTATTATTTCTCTCTTGCTTGCTTATATAACGTCTCTTTCAAAAATCTTTCTTTCGAAAATTGTTCTCTATCCTTGTTTTCTAAAACCTTCTCTTAAAATCGAGACTAGAGACTCGAGCATATGTCGCTTGGTCGTTGGTGACGCAAGAACGAATTGGCTTAGCTCACTTGTCGTTGGAAAGTGAACGTCGCACTATCGCGAAATATATATATATATATATATATAATTATAAGGTTTAGAGGGGAAGTAAATAGAGGGACTCACAAATATTTTTATAATGTATGTACTATCGATCAAGAGGTCAGAGATGTGAGTCCCTCTATTACATAGGACCTTTTTATGACCTTTTCGTTTAGATGAATTAACGTAGCTAAACTATGTTCAAATTGGTTGTTTTTTTATTTATTTATTTGGGTTGGTTCGTAATATTTGGTAGCTTTTTTTTATAAACAAAATAAAGGTAAATGACTTTGATTAGAAGAGAGATAGGTAGGCACAAAGGGAAATGAGAGGTCCACCATGTTTGAACCACCCACAAGTCCTTTGCTTAAAAGAGACTTAGCACAACTCAAAGATCACTTCACCAAAAAGACTTTCAAAAGAACAAGTTGTACAATGAACAAAAAAATGTCTTCAATATACCAAACTAAAAAGAATAGGTGGATGAGTTGAGTAACGTTCGAGAGGTATGTTCACGTGTTAAAACAGTTATGTATCGTCGTTAGTCTCACGGTTTTAAAACGCATTTGCTATGGAGAGGTTTCTACACCCTCATAAGAAATGTTTCATTCCCATCTCCAACCGACGTGAGATCTCACATTAAAGGTAAAATGGACTAAATTGAGTATTGTTTAAAAAAGATCAGGAACCATTTGGAATAAAAAAAATCAACCCGAGTATGACAAATGGGTTAGATAATCTTTCTCAATATGGGTTATAGCTTGAATCTTCACAAATGTACCATCTGTCAATTGAGATATAAATATTTAATGACTCGAGAGGTACATTTAGACTGATTTAACTCTTATTGTTCTTGATTGTGTACTCTTGTGAAATGCATTGTTTTTTGTTTCTTTTATCGTTTAACGATATGAGAGGTCCACCATCTTTGAACCCGATTACCAACCGAGTGATCTCTTTTATCGTCTATGAACTCTTCTACCATAATGATATGAGACCATGGAAACAAGTTGTATAATGAAAGAAATTTCTTCCATAAAAGATAGTTATACTAAAATTGTCATTGATTTCTTGTTATAAATCAAGTTTTTGGCACTTAGAACAATTATTTTCCATGGTGAACAAATCCTAGACATAGAAATCAACCCCATTTCAAATAATTATCAACCTTATATTTTTATACTAAAATAGTTTAATTAGCGGTTTTCAAAAAACTCGATGATTCGAAAAACATGATCAACCCAATGCAACCCAATTCGTAGGGTTTGAGTTGACCCAAAAAATATGCGCGGGATGCAATCCTTAATAGTTCACCGGAGGAAGCAACCCTAATTCAATCCTTAATTAGGGTTGGATTCATTGTTTAAAATTTACCATCTGAATAATTAGGTCTAAAAATGTCTCAACTCGATTTAATTCAACACGAACGCTCCTAATTCAATTATGACCAAAGATAGAGTGCTTGGGATGTTGTTATGAGCAACATTAAAATTAAAATTTGTGTACATAACAACATTAATTTTTTTTATGTACAAAATACAATTCAAATGTCTCCATCCCTTATGAAGACACCAAAAAGAGAGAAGCATGACTCCAAATAGCACCAACTAGACCCTTCTCTTTTTTTTTTTTGGTATGATTTAGAGAGATCTAACGTTTGAAATGTCTTTTCACCATAGTTCATAATTGGGAGGGCGTGAATCAACCTATCAAATTTTGATAGGACAATTTGTGTCTTGAACTATGCTCAAATTGATAATAAAATGACAAGTTTGAAATGAAGAGATAATTCCTGACGAGAAAAAAAATGCAAAATATACAATAGTTATATAGAGCAATTACAAATTCGCTCCGCCGGTTTGTACTATGGTCAATATAACACTCTCTAGATATACGACCTTCAAATTCGTTAAACCAAAGATTGAAGAACTTGAGCATCTGAAGCTTAAGAGCCATGTCGGGAAATTTCCGTATGAATCGGTTATTATGAATACAATTCATTGAACAACTATGGTCAAATTTCTTCCTAATCCTTTCCTTTTCGAAGACCAGTGATGGTTGGTTGTGAGTTCTTCGTTATAGCCATTGAAACTCTCTGTAGTATAGAAGCTAGTGTTGAAAGGCTGCCATGGCCAACAATGGGGAGCAAAGGATAAGTGAGGGTCCAAAATGAAACTTTGACTTCAATAAAAGAATGCCACATGATATTAAAATAGTCTATAATTTAAAGAAAAAAAAAATGATATCTCAATGCCATGTCTTTTTCATCGCTAAACTAACGATGAACCGAAGTGAGAGACCATTTAAAACAATTTTTTCTAACTTTAGGGACTAAAATCGTTCATTTTGAAACTTCTGCAAGTCCCACCACGGTAAACCTGCAAAAAGAAAAGAAAAAAACATAGAGAAACGAAATAGAAAAAAAGGGAAACCAAAAAGGTAGGAAGAAGAGAAACTCGAGCATTAGTACCCCGTCGACGACGTTAAACATAAAGAAGAAAGTGTACGAGGAAGTATGTGAGATCTCACATCGGTTAGGAAGGAGAACGAAACATTTTTTATAAAAGTGTGAAAACCTCTTTCTAGCAGACGTGTTTTAAAAACCTTGAGGAGAAGCAAGGAAAACCCAAAGAAGACAATATCTGCTGACGTTGGGTTTGGGGCGTTGCAAATGGTATCAGAGCCCAACACTAGGCGGTGTGCTAGTGAGGAGGCTGAACCCCGAAGGGGGGTGTACATGAGACGGTGTGCCAACAAGGACGCTGGGCCCAAAACGAGGGTGGATTGGGGGGCCCCACATAGATTGGAGAAAGGAATGAGTGCTAGAGATGACGCTGGGCTCCGAAGGAGGGTGAATTGTGAAATCCCACATTGGTTGGGGAGGAGAACGAAACATTCTTTACAAGGGTGTGGAAACCTCTCCCTAGTAGACACGCGTTTTAAAAATCTTGAGAGAAACCCTAAAAGAAAAAAACCCAAAGAGTACAATATCTATTAATGGTGAACTTGGGCGTTACAAAGTAGCAAACCGATCTAAGTCAGAGAGTTAGCCCACCAACAACAGAAAGCAAAAAAAAAAAATCGAACAAAATCTAGGATTGTTACGAAATCTAAGGACTAAAATCGTTCATTTTGAAACTTCAAGGACCAAATAAATATCAATCTCAAACCTAAGAAACCAATACTTGTGTTTTGATCACGAGGTGACATATGACATAAAGCCATATAGCAACCTTATTTGCAAATATAACCTTACATTTCAACATAATTGCAAACACACCTCAACAAGTAAAAACATAATTCTCAGACCTATTTTGTCAAAAGATCATGTGGAAGAACATATGAACTTAGTGTAGACTATCAATATCATTGGATGAGCAAACTTCTCAAGCAAAGCAGATATTAACAAAGTCAAAATGGTGTAGAAGAGAAGGTAGTTTGATTATGACATATCAACCATGACAGCTTGTGAATCTAATGGTCCAATTCTGCAATCAGTGGACAATAAATCCTGCAGTTGGCAACCAAAGGGCTTTCTTATCCCATTCTTATCTTCATTTCTTGAATGATTGAAAGGATAAGAGAAAATCTCACCTACAAAGATCACAGTATGGGGAACTTAGATGCAATTTAGATGCTCGTCTGTATTCTAAACGCTCTTCCCGATCGCAGCTTCGTGTTGCTGATGACACAGTTCTCTCTGCAGCCAGAATATAAGAACATCTATCACAAAATAACAGAGATGTCTTTTTTTGAAGTTTTGATCTGATAATAATAAATGTTCTTGTCATAAACATGTTTGTGGATGTCAAGCAAAAAACTCATGAACTTGCTGTCTAAGCAGATGGCTAGGTAAGTGTAATACAAAAGAGCAGCAAAGCCAGCTTACTTACATACTCAGGAATGTTGGAAGAAACAGGATGGTTAGAACACAAAGAAATCCAGGAAGAAAACTGTTTTCAGGACAGTTTTACGTTGTTTTATAGCAATAAGTTATATAAAAGCATGATTGCATTGCCACTCTTTCTTGTTTTCCTTTTAGTATGTTCTTGACGAGTCCTAGTTCATTTTCACGAAAAATAAGAACAAGCAGAAGAAGATCTGTGAGATCCCATATCGGTTGGAGAGGGGAATGAAGTATTCCTTATAAGAGTGTGGAAATCTCTCCTTAGTTGACGCGTTTTAAAACCTTAAGGGGAAGCCCGGAAGGGAAAGTCCAAACAGGACAATATCTTTTAGCGGTGGGCTTGAGTTGTTACAAATGGTATCTGAGCTAGACATCGAGCGGTGTGCCAGCAAGAACACTAGACCCCCAAGGAGATGGATTGTGAGATCTCACATCGATTGGAGAGGGAAAAGAAACATTCCTTATAAGGGTGTGAAAATCTATCCCTATGGACGTGTTTTAAAACCTTGAGAGAAAGCCCAGAAGGGAAAGCCCAAAGAGGACAATATCTGGTAGCGGTGGGTTTGGGCTGTTACAAATGGTATCAAAGCCAGGCACCAGGTGGAGTGGCAGCGAGAATGCTGGACACTCAAGCGGGTGGATTGTGAGATCCCACATCAATTGGAGAGGGGAATGAAACATTCCTTTTAAAGGTGTGAAAACCTCTCCCTAGTAGATGCATTTTAAAACTTTGGGGGGAAGCATGGAAGGGAAAGCCCAAAGAGGACAATATCACTTTCCAAAAAGGATAATATTTGTTAGCTATTTGAGCTGTTACAAAATCTCTCAATACTCAATCAGCCAAAAGTGTCAAAATATACATAATGCGGTCAGCAGCCCAACTCATATACTCCCTCCCTTAACCATAACGATGCCAAACAACTAACTATGGAATTCCAAGACACAATAACACAACATTCACCACTCTGCAGTAGGCCCCTTCCCTTTCTTCTTGCACGCGTATGCATCTTAAGGACCAGGGGTCTATCATTCTCACAAATGACAATGTTTTTTAAACAAAATTCGTTTTCAAATAAAAAATTTGTAAATTAATGTGAGATCTCGAATTAGTTGGAGATGGGAATGAAACATTCTTTATAGGGTGTGGAAACCTCTCCCTAGCAGATGCATTTTAAAACCTTGAGAGAAGCCCATAAGGGAAAGTCCAAAGAGGACAGAGCCAGACACCGGGCGGTGTGCCAACGAGGACACTGGGCCCCAAAAGGGGGTGGATTGTGAGATCCCACAATGGTTGGAGAAGGGAACGAAGCCTTCCTTATAAGTGTGTGAAAACCTCTCCCTAGTAGATGCATTTTAAAACCTAAGCCCAGAAGGGAAATCCCAAAGAGAACAATATCTGCTAGCGATGGGTGTGGGCTGTTATAATTAATAACTTCAATGTTATCCCTCCTTCCTATGGTTCGATATTAACCATAAAGAAAAATGTTCCTTTCTTCGATACTGATTCACGTTCGCCCTCCATCTTCCTCTTATTCCTCTTAAAAAGATTTTGTTGGTCCAACTCCTACTATTGGGTATTAACAGTAGTCTGTCCATTAAAGCCTATAATCTTAATCTGTCTCTTTAATTCAAGCATCCTACATCTTTAATTTAATACCCTTAATGTTCCTTGATAAATCTTATTTTTTGTTTTTGAGTTCAACAAATGAAGTAGGAGACCAAATCTTCAACCTCTGGAAAGGTAATACATGACCTACCCACTAAACTAAAAGAGTATGATCAAGATCCTTCGTTGTTCTTTTACAAAACATGCAACACAATGGCCCCATCAAGTAATTGTTGCTCTGATAGTAATTGATTATCTAGTGGATAGAGCAAAAAATAGAATACATAGTCGAGCTTTAAAGAACATCAACCTTTCATATGTGTAACGGCTCAAGCTCACCGCTAGCAGATGTCCTCCTCTTTGGGCTTTCCCTTTCGAGCTTCCCCTCAAGGTTTTTAAAACACGTCTGTTAGGGAGAGGTTTCCACACCCTTACAAAGAATGCTTCGTTTTCCCTCGCAACCGATATGAGATCTCACAATCGTTCTTCTCCCCAACTGATGTAGGATCTCGCAATATGTGTAACGGTCCAGGCTCACCGCTAGCACATATTGTCCTCTTTGAGCTTTCCCTTTCGGGCTTCCCCTCAAGATTTTTAAAACGCGTCTGCTAGGGGAAGGTTTCCACACCCTTATAAAGGGTGTTCCGTTCTCCTCCCTAACTAATGTGGGATTGTGGGATCTCACAATCCACCCCTCTTCGAGGCCTAGCATCCTTACTGGCACACCGCCTCGTGTCTACCCTGTTTCGGGGAACAACCATATCACTGGCACATGGCCCAGTGTCGGACTTCCCCTCAAGGTTTTTAAAACGTGTCTGCTAGGGGAAGGTTTCCACACCTTTACAAAGGGTGTTTCGTTCTCCTCCCCAACCAATGTGGGATTATGGGACATAATTGTTCTTCAAGTTTCCTCAAAATATCCAACCCCCCCCCCTCTCCGAGTGCTCAACCGTACATATTCCGATTGAAAATCCGATCCCACAACTATAACATTCTCTAACAAGTGATAGCCTCCACCAGATCTCTCAACTAGAAACTAAACAATCCCTCTCCAGTACAACTTTTAAAGATAAACAGAGTAACTATGGCAATGAAAATAGCCACCAAACACAGAACAATGCATATTTATCATAAGTATAACAAGCTTGTATACATGAGCAAAAAAACAATCAAATAACTTGCAAGTGATAATGGAAAATACCCTTCTTTCCCAATATGGATGAAAGCATATGAAATCATAGACTAGAGTGATGGTTGATACTAGCACAACATTGAGCCCAGTAAATACAAGAAGCGCAGTCATAGGTCGTGTTCGGTGCGGCATAGCTTTCAATCAAAACTCTAACAAGTGCTGAATCTGATTCTTATACATGAATCCAGGAATTATGAAAAGAGAAGACAAAGAACAGGCCATGAATAATTTCAAACAATAAACAGTAAAATAATGATGCAATGCAAATTGACATTCTAAATTGCATTTCATCACTCTTGTTAATGCCAACACCATTTCACAAAATAATGATACAATGCAACATTCTAAGAGGAATTTAATCGAACATTTAACAACTCTACAGCAGTTCATATGAAAATTAAATGACTCCCTGCAGCAATTCATCTACATATATAGTCGAAAGGGTAGCATGTTGAGGATTGTCGAGAAGGAGTCTGACATTGGCTAATTAAGGGGATGATCATGGGTTTATAAGTATGGAATACATCTCCATTGGTATGAGGCCTTTGGGGAAAACCAAAGGCAAAACCATGAGAGACTATGCTCAAAATGGACAATATCATACAATTGTGGAGGGCCATGGTTCCTAACATGGTATCAAACCCATATCCTTAACTTAGCTATGTCAATAGAATCCTCAAATATTGAACAAAAAAGTTGAGTCTCGAAGGTGTAGTCAAAAGTGACTCAAGTGTTGAACAAAGGGTGTACTTTGTTCGAAGCTCCAGAGAAGGAGTTAAGTCTCGATTAAGGAAAGGTTGTTCGAAGGCTTCATAGGCCTAAGGGGTGGCTCTATGGTGTATTTTGTTCGAGGGGAGGATTATTGGGAAAGAAGTCCCACGTTGACTAAGTAAGAGAATGATCCTACATTTATAAGTAAGAAATTCATCCTCAAAGTGAACAATTTCATGGAGTGTCATGGTTCCTAACAAATTTTCTTAAACGAAATTTCCTCTTTATTATTGAATCCATGTATTACTGTTCCTTTTTATTGATCGATTCAATCTGTTTTTTGTTTTTTTTTTCTTGGTACTAATTTGTGATGTATACATTCTTAGTTTTATGTTTTCATTTAGACTAGTTGAACATTGAATGAAGAAGAAATCAACAAAAAAACAAGAAAAAAATTGTTCACAATTTTCTCCGTGGAAGAAAATAAACCAACATAACCCAACAAAACAAAAAATAAAACCTCGAGAATCTGAAAAATGAGCGGCGGCGGCGCAATCTCGTCAACGACGCGGGTTAGGGGCTGGAACCACTGTGATTGCTCGGAGAGGGGAAAGGGGGGCGGCGATTTCATCGGAAGCCGGAGACTGCGGCAGCGGAGAGTGCTGCCTAAATTTAGAAATTAGTCTGTTTGGTCTGATGATCTCTCTCCTCTCCATTCTCCTCCGTTTTTTGTTTAAGATACTATCAACATTTTAGATAATTAATTGTGATTAATTATTTTATTTTTCTTTAAATCATATTATTAAAATAATTTAACTAATTTAATTATTAATGTAATTTTGATTCATATACTTTAAATTTTAGGGTTTTAAATTTATTTTATAATAAATCTTAATTCTAAATTTTAGGGTTATTTATTTTATTTAAAATTTTAATTCTAAATATTTAGCCCAAATTTATATTTTAAAAACTAAATATTTTATATGATGAAGTAAATTATATGGAATGAGGTATACTTATAAATCTTATATATTTATAATAATTTATTAATAAAATAAAAAAAATTAAAAATGTATTTATAAAATGATTATGTATGGGCAAATGGGTCAACGATTGGACACCCTAGCAAAGTTTGGAGTGTGTGACTTGAAAGATAAAGTAATACATAAAGACTAATCAATTCGTGATCTAGTTGCAATTCTTAAGATTATGGACATGGCAATTTGTCAGAGTTGAGGTAGAGTTGAGGTAGACTGAGCCATAGAGATATGAGCTACTAAGTCAATACTTCACACTCGAGAGAGCATAGTAGCTCTGGTCATTAAGAGGAAAGAATTGACCCACGCGGCGATATATCGAACATTAAAAGCTTATCTAAAAAAACATGCACTCATGTAGAAACAAGGATTCCCTCAAGTATATGAATCAAGAAGGGCGAGTTCGACATAGTTGTGGGAATTAGTGTTGTTGGGCTCACTAATTTCCCCTAGCTTAAGTAATACCCATGAATAAAATAGTGTTCATATCGATTATAGGAGGCTAATCAGAAATAAAAAAGATAACAAGATGAGCCCTTAAACCAACTTGATATCTCTATGTAGTGAGCGTTATGTCAAGCTCTCCGATTATGAGTCTTTGTTGAACAAAAACATTTACTTTAGACATTGAATGTTATAAAAGGTAGTCTAGTGAACCATTTTAAACGAGGAACAGTTTGTAGTTGGTCTAGACTTGTTTGGAGATATTAAGTTGTAAGTTCCCTTGCTTTGACAATGTAGAAGGTTTGTTCAAATGTTTCGAGTTTAACTCAATCAATTCATGCGAGCACAACTCGCACAACTCGCACTTACAATGAGTATTTGAGAAGAGCTCTTGGAAGTTTAGGATTTTGTTGGCCCCAACCATGGTATAAAGATGTGCCGGAGGATCTATGAAGGTTAGTAAAATTTAATGATGTTGCGAAGAAATAACTCGTTAGAGTACTAAGCAACTCAAAAAGTAAGCATCCTACCTCATATTAAACAAAGGAACATCAATCCAAGGTTGGTTAAGTTCTTCAAGGTGGTAGGTCAAGTGGAAAGTTGTTAAAGGATATGTCCAAACCCCTCGTTAGTGAATTTGGGGGTATTAAAAGGTTCAGCAGCTTGAGAGGTTATGTCATGAAACTCCTTCTAGGTTTACCTAAGATAGTGAAAGGTCACACTGTCATTCAAGTAGAGGTGGATGGTTGCGTCCACAAGATTACACAGGTTACTATAGCTAAAATTTCAGTCTTCGAGAATAGAGATGATTTTAAATGATAGGTCTCATTCACGTTGCATGTCCTATGGGATATTTTCTAATGGGACAAATGTTACAAAATTTATGATTTTGTAGTTACAAGCGAGTGAAGAGAAAAGATTTCAAAAAATATAATATTATTTTAATCACGATAATGAATTACAAATGATATCAAAGCCAAACACCAGACGATGTGCCAGCTAGAAAACTGTTCTTCGAGAGATAGACATGAGGTGGTGTTCCAGTAAGGATGTTGGGCCTCGAAAGAGGTGAATTTGGTAGGGGTCCCACATCAATCGAAAAAAGTAACGAGTGCCAGTAAGGACGCTGGACCATGAATGAGAGTGGATTGTGATGTTCAGTTAGAGATGAGAACAAAACACTTTTTAATAAAGGGTGTGGAAACCTTCTCCTAGCAGATGCGTTTTAAAGTCTTGAGGGAAAGCCCAAGGAGTAAAAGTGTCAGCGAGGACGTTGGCCCCAAAGAGAGGGTGAAATGTGAGAGTCCCACATTGGTTGGGGAGGAGAACGAGGAAAACGAAACACCCTTTTATAATGGTGCGGAGAAAATAAGGTTTAGAGGTTTTGTTTGCATCTTGGGTTTTAATTTCTCTTTCGAAAGAGGTTGCTTAGAGCCCGCTTTGTCTTACCTGATTAGAAGTTGCTTTGTATACTTGCGTTTAAATACGTTTTGAATTATTTAAACATCAAAATCGCTTTTTAAATCATAGTCTTTAATTTTTTTTAATACAATAAATATTATATTAAGTTATACAATAATGTTTAATACAATAACTATATAACGCATCAAAATTATTTTTAAAATATCTGGTGAAGTTTATATGGGTACGTCATTAATATTTTAATATGATGTGTTAGATTTATTTAATAATAATTATTGTTAAATAAATATATTTCCACATAAATTATCATACCATTAAAAACTTTGTAATAATTTTGGTATCATACCATTAAAACCTTGGGAATAATTTTGGATGTTTCTTAGATTTTAAATATAATGGCCACTAATTTTCAAAACTTTTCAAAATGATGGTGAACAAGTTAGGTTAAAAATATCCCCGAGACAAGGACAAGAAAGTTTTATCTGTTTTCGTCTACGACGCTTATTTCATTCTTAGTCTAAGTAAAATTTTTCATTTATTTTTAAAGGGACCAAGATGGAGATTATATAAGGAAAATTCATAGGGATCAAGTTACCTGAAAGAAATCTTTTTTCTATATACGTACGTACGCGTGTATATATATATATATATATATATATATATATTGAACACAACTCTCGATTAGAAACACTTGCACACTTTATTAAGACCAATCGAGAAGAGATTTACAAAAAACTTGGTAGAAACAACTACTGTGTATTGCTTGGGATACACTCTGTAGAAACTACTCCGTATTGCTTGGGATTTCTTAGATGATGAACTAAGTAGGAGGGTGGATGAGTATTTATACTATAAGATAGTTAATCTATTCATAATTTTTTCAACATTTTTCTAAAATACCTAAATCATTTTCCTAAATTTATTCCTAAAATTCTAAATCATTTTCTTAACATAAATATAGTCACTCATACTATGAGCTCAACTCTATTGGGCTAGTAATGATATTTTAACACTCTCCCTCAGCACTAGTCCTTATTCACTGCACCACAACGAATTCTCTCATGTGTGCAAGTATTCAGCTCTTTTGTACACAAGTCTACCACTTGGTCATCCGTATTCTTCCTACAAGACTTTGTTTCTAATAAAAATGGCAGTGCACCTCCACATGCTTTGTTCTGCCATGAAACATCGAATTTTCTACTAAACAAATCACAGATTGGTTGTCGCATTAAAGTGGTATCGAATAGTCAACTTTCTGGTGCCAATCTTTCATTAGAAGTTTCAGCCATGTACATTCCTGAGCTGCTCCCGCCGTTACTCTGTACTCTACTTCTCTAGTTAACAATGATACAGTGATTGATCTTCGGGTATCGTGGTCTCCTACATAGTCGACATCACTATATCCAACTATTTTGCAGTCTTCACTTCTTTTGTACAAACGATCGTAATTGATTGTACCTTTGACATATCTCAAGGTTCGTCGAGTTGCGTCCAAATGAGGCTTCTTCGAACTTTGCATATATTGACTACTGACTCCAACTTCATTTTCGAATTTCTTTGGTTGGTCCATGTAGAACTCTCTGTTTAACTCACCATTCAGGAAAGCATTCTTCATATCCATTTGCCATAATTTTCAATCTTTATTTACCACAAGTACCGGAGAAACCTGTATGATAGTTATCTTCGTCACTGGACTAAACGTTTCATCATAGTCTAGTCCATATTCTTGAGAGAACCCTCGAGCTACATATTGAGTCTTGTATCTTTCGGTTGATCCATCCGAGAGACACATTATTTCGTAAGCCCACTTGCAAGAGATGGATTTGACATCTCTAGTTTTGGTACTAGTTCCTAAGTTTGATTTTGCTCAAGGGCTATAATTTCTTCCTCCATTGTCTGCTGTCAAGCCGTATTTTGTGATGCTTCTACATACGCCTCTAGCTCTTTAACTTCGTCCTCTATAATAGCTATATCGACATACTTTGGATTTGGCTTCTTGATTCTTTCTGACCGTTTGAGTTGTTGAGGTGTCGTTTCATTTTCACTAGGTTTGCTTGGTTGAGTGACTTCTTGCTCACCAACACTAGTGTCACTTGAATCTTCAGGCACATCAGCATGTAAGCAAATGTGTACAGTTTGCTCCCCCGTCTTCTATGGAAGAATCTCTTCAGTTTGCTCTCCGGTCAAAAGAATTTCTTCAATTTGCTCAAGGTGATAAGGCAACCCTAATCCTCAGCCCAACGATCCAAGCTTTTGTTTTAGCAAGAAACCTTGAATCAAAGTAATTAACACCTCCTTATACGAAATTTGGATCAACCAAGAGATAAAGCTAGAATTAGATTACCTCTTACGATCGAAGATCTAGAAGCAAGATTTGGAACCTTGTTCTAAATTGAGTCAATCCACAATCTAACTTGATCAAGGCTTGATTGAATGGCTCGGGTGCAATTCTACCACAAGAATTGCTTGAAACTTAGAAATGACAAATATGATGCTCGAATTTCTAACGGAAATGTCTCAGTTTGAGATCTGAATTACATTCATCCACGAATCTGAATTTTACATAACATATTGTGGGTATTTATAGTCTCCCAACAAAAGACGTTTGTGGACGGGATTTATTCAAGACGTTTATGGACGGAATTTATTCCCGATCCCCTTTAGTCTCCACAAAAAAATAAGTCAAATTGACCATTTGACTCTTACATAATTTATAAAATTAAACGTAGTTCTTTCTAGCAAATGTTGATGTGTTTGAGTGGTTAATGCGACAAGTTTGAAATCAATTGAGCTCTCTGCGTGTA